CGCTGATGGAGTGACCATCCCCATGGCCCTGGCGCTGATGGAGTGACCATCCCCATGGCCCTGGCGCTGATGGAGTGACCATCCCCGTGGCCTCAGGGCCGACGCAGTGCCCACCCCCTCGGCCACCCCCGGCGCTCACCCCCTCTGTCCCTCCCCGCAGGGCGAATCCGGTTCCCCCGGCGAGAACGGCTCCCCCGGCCCCATGGTGAGTCCTCGGGCTGCACAAGGGGGAAACTGAGGCACGAGGGGGGGTGGAAATCGGGGGTGGGGGGCACAGCCCCCCCGAGCCTGACCAGCCCCCGTGTCCCCGCAGGGTCCCCGCGGGCTGCCCGGAGAGCGAGGACGTCCCGGCCCCTCCGGTGCCGCCGTGAGTGTGACGCTGCCCGTGCCCCCGGTGGCACCTCGGTGGCACCCTGGTGACACCCCGATGTCCCCCCCGCCGGCAGGGGGGTCCCCCCGCGGTGCCCCCCGTGCCTCACACCATCCCCATCTCCCCCCAGGGCGCTCGTGGCAACGACGGTCTCCCCGGTCCCGCCGGACCCCCCGTAAGTCAAGGGCTGCTCTGGCCCTCCCTGGACCCCGTGTCACCCCACGGGGGGCACAGCGGGGTCCCCCAGGCCCCCCCCAAAGCCTGGGCAGACCCTCACACTCCTCTCGCTCCCAGGGACCCGTCGGCCCAGCCGGAGCTCCCGGCTTTCCTGGTGCCCCCGGCTCCAAGGTAACGGGGACGGGGCTGACCCCGGGGATGGGGAGGGGGGAAACTCGAGGCACAGCACCCGCTGTGACCCCTCACCCCTCATTCCTCCCCCCAGTGACCCCTCACCCCCTCATTCCTCCCCCCAGTGACCCCTCACCCCCTCGTTCCTCCTCGCAGGGTGAAGCTGGTCCCACTGGAGCCCGAGGTCCCGAGGGTGCCCAGGGCCCCCGCGGCGAATCCGGCACCCCCGGCTCCCCCGGCCCCGCCGGCGCCCCCGTAAGTGCCACGTCCCACTCCCCTCCCTGGTGGCTTCGTCCCGGAGTTGTCCCCTGGCCCGGGAGCTGTCCCTGGAAGGGGATTCGGGGGAACTGAGGCACGAGGAGCTCAGCGGTGTCTCCTTTTAGGGTAACCCGGGCACCGACGGCATCCCCGGAGCCAAGGGCTCGGCGGTGAGCGGGGTTTGGGGACAGGGGTGGGGAGGGAGGGGGTGTGCAGAGACCCCCGGAGAGGTGCAGGGTGAGGAGGGGCTGCTGAGGGTTTGGGGATTTGGGGCTGGGATCTGGGGGACACAAAGGATTTGGGGTCGTGGGGCACCCACGGGGGCAGGAGTTCACT